GAGGACACAAGCAATCTCAATAGCTGACTACAGGCCTAAGCACTGTGGAAAGATAAATTTCGCAAGGGGGACTTCTACACTTAGCTCTGAAATCCCACCACTATGCTTATCAAAAACTGACTTTGTTTAAATTGCTAAGTAATAAAACCAAATGAAACATATTTGTCCCCTTCTGATGCAAAGAGAACAACTTGCCATTCAATAAGACCCTTGCACCCTTAAAGCACTCTGCTGCATTTAAGCAAAGAAAGCTGTCTAGATCAATTATAGACTAATTAGAATTTGCCAAAGTATTTAGGCAACTTCTTAATTAAAAGTGACCTAGTGGTCAGTCATTAAATATTATTTAGTAATACTTGCCTTGATAGATGTTTTCATGCTGTGCTTTAATATGCATAATAAATCATGCTGTGAATTTAGACTGGAACATATAAGTTATGTCACTTGTGAAAATTTGATACATTCTGGTAAGTTAAATACCAGGCTTCACTGTGAGTGCCATCTGACTGACTGAACTCCAAATTGACTCAGTATGCAGGCATCGGTTTTAATTCTCCTTGTGAAATATCAATTACAATCAATTACCTAGTAACACCATAGAAAATACTGTTCCAATTGTTTCTGCTATAGCTACATTAACCACTACTGATATCCTCTAAGCAAAATACAATATCCAGATTTTCCTGCCCCCATTATAGTTGATTCTTTCAATAGTAACTTGATTAGTGAGAATGAGAGAAAAAAGAAACAAAAAAGAAGGCTTTCTTGCTAATTAAACTATTGCCATGCTTTTTAAAACCACAGAAAAAAGAGTTGCTTATTCTAAGAAATGACCCACTGATTTCTGTGAGCCAGCAGAATAGCAGCAGAAGAAATCAGTCCAACTCGTTTTGTGCTTTTGCGTGGAATTTACCGGAAAGCCAGTTTGCAGAGCCATGCTTCTCAAACACATAATCAGTGTCCAAACAGCAACCCAGCCCAGTTTCTGGAGATACATTTATTTCTCACTATGATCATCACGAAAGAACTTCTTTGAAAGACGGTTGTTGACTTAGTAACATTAAACAGCATTTCTTATTAATGAAGCTCTTTTATTACTTAAAAGGAGGAAAATAAATATACAACATGCAGAGAAAACAAATTTATTACTGCATTTTAGGGACAAATGTAGGAGGGAAGAACACACCTTCAAAATTTATCTTAAATCATGATGAAGCCAAGGGAAAAGTGCTTCAAGCCCCCCAAGCATGTGATTACAGAATGTGATCTATCAACATACAAGTACTAGTTTCTGCAAAGCTCATAAACATTTAATTTTAAGAATATAGGGACTTTCCAAGAACTTCCATGCACTTTTTACTTCATTGCAAAACAACAAGTTTTCAGGTATTTTTCTAGTTCTTCAAGATAAGATTTCTAAAGTGCTCTGTTGGCAATATGTTAGTTTCCTGAAAAATGAATCCAACCTTTTCACCAGCTGTTTTTTCCATTCTATTTCAGTTTTCCAAGAAAACCATTAGCAGACTAAGGAAACAGTAAGTATAACTTTAAGCAGGGAACCAGAAATTAGCATTGCATGTGGATTCTAACAAAGAAGTTGCAACACTGATAAGCTGTATTTTGGCTCTAATGACAGCCTTAGGGCATCCATGTGTGTACATGTAATAAATCACCCCATTGAAAAGATAATTACTGAGGGGGAAAAAAGATTTCTTCATAGTAATTACACTAAACTTCCTGAATTAACATACCCACAGATGGTTCTTTGTGGTCCTACTTACACATTAGAGAGAAGAATGCTTGATTACATTAGTTCACTCACTTGAAAGGAAAAAAAATAATGATCTGGTAATTATTCACACTAATACTCCTTAGTTGGTGAAGCCTATGTAGACTTTTGACCGCAAAACCAAAGAACAAAAGGTTAATTAGGTTTTTAGGCCTGAGTTTTCAAAGGCAGTGAAAGTTGGACAACATCTAGGTGAAAAAAAACCATCTCTTTTAGCTGCAGGCAGGGATTCAGAAATATATCCCCATTACTATTTGGTCTGGCAGCCCTGGCCCTTTCTAAGCATGGACACAGCATATGTACCCTTTCAGCAAAGAATAATTTAATTAAAACTTACACTTGCATATGGACATGCTGTTCCACTCCCTTCCAATTTAATTGTAAAGGATCTTAAAGGAATATGAATACTCCCACGCCAGCAGCTTAAACAGTTTTCTTCTACCATCAGCGGCTGTCTGTGTTAGTGATATGGACAGCTTTCTTCATTAGCCCTGGCTTCTTCTCTCCTAGAAAAGCATGTCTGCTTCACATAAACAAACAGGACACTTCTGGCTGACCCATTGAGAAGCACATGCTAATGACCTTTTCAGGGCTGAAATGCACCCTGCCAGCAGCTTTCACATAAGAAGCTAGCTTTCTTGAAGAACGCTCAAACAGAGGTCAAAATCCTGACCCTCTGAAAGAAAATGGTAATCTTGTTACTTCAATAGGACTAAATTCCATCGTGGCTTTGTTTCATGGGGATTCCTTTTCCCATTTGTATCTCCTTATTGGAATGTGTTAGTGAGCAAATTACAGAGGAGCTATTTAAACCTCAGAAAAGCAATAAAGGGATCTTTCAACAGAAAGTTAGGAGATTGTCTCCATCCTAAATTCATCAACAGTCTGGTAAAATAATCCTGCTATCATTTTATGATTAAACACTACATTATAAAATTCCATGCATCAACTACAAGTTGATAATTAGAGTCTACAGCTCACTCTCTTCTGGGACAGTGACAGCAGTATAAAACAAATTGTTTAAAGCCTCATATTTCTTCCCGTTTTAGTCATGTAGTACAAAAATGTGTCGGGGGAAGAATTATCAAAACCCAACGATTAGCCTACCAGGTACAGATCTATTTCTGCACACTACTGTGGTGGTACTCAGTTCCCTCTTATGCTCCTACCCACAGATATGTGTTCTCTCTCTATCAGCCTGTCACTGCTGAGTGAAACAACTTTCTGGCCTATTTCTGGCAACCTTCACAAGAACCAGACCATTTCTAACTGTCCATAACCCCTGAAAAAGGATCTTAGTTCCCATGAAATAAAGTTTGCCAACACCTAGGTTCAATCTCTTGAACCAAACTGAATGCCCTACTCACCTTTAAATGCCTGCTGGGTTGCTGCTGTCTGAAACCATTGTGTGTTCTGTGGGGTATACATACGACTACTGAAGATATCAAAAGCTCCTGCCTCTCCTGGGTCATGCTCAGAGGGTTGCATGAGGGCACTAATCCATCACAGCATCTTCTAGACACTTTCCAGGGTCAAAGTTAGAAAACCTCTCTTTTGCAGACTCTGAAAAACCTCATGACTTGTTCGTCGTGGAACAAGACAATCTCTTTCAAAATAGATGGAACTGTCTTGCTGAAATACATCCATCACCTGCATGTTCAATTTGAGGCATAAAAGGGCTGCCCATTTATATCTGATACTCGCTTCCTTCACCTTTTCACTTCGCAGTCCTCATTACCAAATTGCCATCAACATCTCCCCATCTCTTTTGTTAAGAGGACTTTAGTCTTCCACTGCAGAGCAGGGAACAAGCTCTTGAGATGCAATTGGCAGCTCTCCTCCATTTACTTTTTTAGTGTTTTGACCCATCCAGTCCTCCAAATGCCCCTACCCTGCAAGCTGGTAAACCACTAGGTAGAGTCCTGAGCAACAGGTAGGCTCAGGTAGCTGCAGATAGAAGCTCACATCTCCCTCAGCAGTGAAACAGCATGATGTTTGTGTTTAGTGCTCTACAAATATTATTTTGGTGGGCAAATAATGTCTTTCTGCAACTGGCTATTGTACATTCCCTCACTAGTATGCAAAGTGAAAATTTTCAGTTAAATAAGATTAAATTTATGTCCAAAATGCCTACAAATATCCTTTAATATCAACTATTCTTTCATTTTATCCAGCTCTCCACCAGCACTACTATTTGTTGGGATCTCTTTATCCCTTGCAGTATCAACACTGATCAAGAAACCTGGCCACAGCAGTATCAGCTTCACTTGAACTCATTTTCCCTTTCTTCCCAAATCTCTCTCCCGAAAACTACTGCAAGATTGCTTACATCATCTCACAGCTCCTTGTTCCTGTTTACTTGTGCTGTGCCAAATCAGTCAGACAAGCAATTAAGCTTTTTCCTACATCCTCACCAGGCACCTCTGTGCAGTGCTCCAAGATACATTGAAAGAATGAGCATTTGTCTGTGGCCATCTCTTCAGCTGGTCAGACAGAGATGCTACACACCAGCAGAATCCAAATGCCAAATGTCTCAAGCCTTGCTTTGTAGCTGCACGATCATGCAGACCCCACAACTCTGTATGTTTTGGTAACTTCTGTATTTGCCTGCAGGCAATAATAATCTCGAGTAACACAACTAGCCTGTATCTAACTCCATACATCCTCACCTGCACTGTGCACATTCTGGAAACAGGTGGGTCATTTTACATGGCAGCCCAGTACTCATTCTTTTCATCTCCACTTGCCAGAGATGTTATCTGGCTTTTCACAGTACTGTTGTGCCTAGTCTCTGGAGTCCAGAAGAATTGTTCTCTCATTACTCTACACTTTCATCATAACAAAAATTGTTCTGCATTGCTCCTTTCATCTGACTTAACTGAATATGTCCACAGATTCACTGCTTAACAAAAAAACCTGACAAAACAATGTATTTCTACAGAAAAACAAAGTAAAAGAATCCTTATGAAGTCATCTTTATGCATCATCAAAGAAAATGAGGGTATACATAAAATTTCAGAAGTTATTTTCTCTGGCGGAAAAAATCTCACAGAGTTGTCAATATTTGGAAAGAGTCAAAAGTATACTCAACATTTTTTCCCAAATATAAATCAATGGACCAGATTAATTCATCTAAATCATCATTATCAAAGAAGCTGTCACAGAAAGCCAATACTAAAAATAAACACAACCAATTTGGGTGCTATCATACCTTGACAAAATGTAGCATTGATTCTCTTGTAGCCTTGTGGGCATTCCATCATAGGACCATATCCATGGTAAGCTGAAAAAAACCAAGACATAAGTTAAATACTGATAACTTATATCCTTGCAGAGTCTGACAGCTAAATTATTATGTAACTATATTAAAAAAATTGGAAGGCTTTGTGAAAAAATGGTTAAGCAAAAAAGACAAAGAAATTAAAATTAAAGGTTGTACAGGCAACTTTAATTCCATCTTTTTAAATATGGGTACCACTAAAGTCTTCAGTTATCCAGTCAAATTTGTGTTAAAAAACAAAACTAATCTTTGAAATCAGGATACCTTTCATTCTATTTGTTCAGAAATATTCAAATAATTACTTTTGCAAATCAGCTACAAACACACCATATTTGGAAAAGATAAACTGAAGACTCATTATGAAAACATCTAGGATTTACCTAACAGAGCTGTTGAATTTCAGAATAATAAACTTCACTTAACTTACTGGCTGATCAGTGAAAACAGACACAGATATAACAACACTGCAAAATAAATACTGGATTCAATTTTGCCAAAGTAGAAAGTTTTCAGTTAACCAACTTTTTATTTCTATTTATTGTTTTTTTCCTCCACTTAAGGTTGCTTTTCAGACTACAGAAAACCATTTATTGATTCTTAAACATCATAAATGAGAGCAGTACCTTCTTTGTATGGTTATGCACTAAAAGCTAACTTCTTGGCAGAGCCCAGTACTTTATTAAGCATATAGGACTAAACTTTTGGCAATATGATCACATAAATGCTTTTAATAAGAGTCAAGAGAGTTTTTCATAATTTGAATGTTACAACAGAGGTACCTTACATTTTGTCAGATCTTTTGTTTCATTTCAAAAGTGTTCCAAATGTTCAACAAACCTCCCCAAAACCTACCAGGTTCATTCATTTCCATCTTCAGGGTACATGAACTGTCAAGACAGAACAACCAAGTTGCCATTGATTGGCTTCCCTTCACACAATGCCCGAATCACACATTTATCCCTGCAGCTTACTTTAAAACTGGCACTTGGTTGATTGTAATGATGGAAAAAAAGAAAAAGAAAAATTGTTTTAACTAGTTCTAAAGCTTTGCCTATTATTTGGAAAAATTTAAGTGATGATCTTGAGTAGCAGGATTTGGAGTGAGAGTTTTATTTCAAATATCAGTGAATAATTTTAAATAATTGCTTAAATAAAACAGTGAGAGTCTCCTTAGATATCGTATAAAGTGTAAAATGATTAAACACACATAGTAAAAATACAGCAATGTTATTACAGTTCTGAACACATACTTTTCCATCTTTACACTGACTACAATAATTTTAACACCAACTACAACGTGAAAATTGTGCCTCTCTACTCAAGTGGCAGCTACACATTTAGTTTCCAAGGAAGATTTTTTCAGTCTTTTCCTAATGTTAATATTAAAACTAGTTGAAATTGAAAGGTACTTCCAAAAGCACAATGCATTAGTCTACTTCTGGTCCCCAAAAGTGTCAATGAAACTCCTAGTACTCATGTTGGCAGATTCAAACTCACAATTGCACTCATTATGTCCTAACTGATTTGTGTTTCCCATAACAGACCTGCTTTGATCCACACTAAAACCAGGAGAGTCTCTAACTTTCTGTGGGCAGGAATGGTACCCTGCAGTGCAGCCTGCTGAATGAAAACAGCTCCCAGTTGTAGATGGAGACCAGCCCATAATCTATGCCAGGTCTTTTCCAGGGCTGCAACACATTTTCCCTCCCAGGGTGACTCAGCTGCTCTAGAAAGTGCAGTGGTGGACTGAGGTCAGATATTTTAACCTTTCCCTCCTTCCTCATCCTCCTACTCCCACAACAAACAGGAAACTGGCAGCTCACTAGCAGCTGTTTTCTTCTTTTCAACAAAGAGCACAAATGTAAGCAAGTCACAGCAGAGAAAAAGCTTGTTCAGTGATGGCTGCTGATCCATGTGGGAGCTGGATGGAGTCTGACATAACTTACCCTTTACTCACCTAAACAACATGTTTGTAATTACTAAGTTAGCAAGAAGCCTGACCAATCACAACATCCCCCATGTAACACAGAAAGACTCTTCTTCTTAAAAGCTGTTTTCTGTTAGAAGCCCTGAAAAATGGAGATCTGTTCCAAAACTTCCTTTGGTTTTCAATAATACTGAACAACCCATAAACTTAAAGACATGGCAGCTGTCTCAGGTCAAGGCACTTAAATCTGCAACAGGACAGGAGCCCTGACTGAGCAGTGCCTGTTACTCAAAATACTCAAGTCCTTACAAAGATGACAGAGCCCTCTCTAAGACCATGGGAACAAGACGTGCAAACTTAGGCATGTCCTTAAGTAGTTGATTGAAGAGGGAAGTACCTGCTAGTGACACTAAAGTATATGCTTAAATATTTTGCTGAAGTTTTTAACCCAGAAATATTTTCTGGGTTATGCAGAAGATCACAACCTGATTACATATTATTATAAAAACATGTCCACTTTTAATGAAGTTTATGAGGCATAAAACCATAAAAGCAAAAGGAAATCTGTTTGCTTCCAAAACATCTACAATAAAAAGGGTAATACCAATTTAATGAAATATCAGGTCAGAGTTATATGGGAAGAATGTGGGACTAACTTAACTTGTTGAGACACATGCATAGATATCACTTAACTGACAACTTACTATTTATTGACTCCCAAGCTTTTCTATCCAATATCATATAAATTTATGTATACAATATATGCATATTCCTCTTACCACTGAAGCATTCTCAGTGTTGCAAAATAAAAACATTTGATTAATATAAATCCTTCAGCATCTACTCTAGATTTCCATTAAAACATCTAATAAATTGACATTTATCTTTGGAAATTGTTTACTCTACAGAACCATAACACTTTGATACTGTCATGAGGTTTAGTTTGACACCTATACCCAAAAGATACTTTGACCCACATCCAGAAGAGATTTTTGGTTTTCAGGTTTTGTGCCAAAGCTTAAACTGAACACTTATAACATTTTAAGATGCTGTAAGATCACTTAAACACCTGCAACACACTAAACGTATCACCTTCAATTCTTAAAAATCTAAAAATTCACCATTTGCATCCATGTAGAATTGCCATAACATATGGCATGATTAAACAGCATCATGCTTAGACTCATTCCTTAAAAAACATACATCATTACTAAGCCTTTGTGACAGATTCAATGAATACTCTTGAAGCATACACCTACCAAATCACACTCTTGATATAATGACACTATATTTTAATCTGCATAAAATACACAGTGCACCCTTCTCCTCCTCCCTTAAAACACTAACATACAGTGAGAGCTCCCACCTAGAAAAATGAGAAATGTGTCCTATTATGTCTAGAAGACACAAATCCTTACTTTCCAGGAATGCTTTAATCAGAAGAAGAGGATTATTCCAAGTGGCACCATTCTCTTTCTCTTCCTGAAATCATACAGTTACATTAAAAAAACCAATTCCAAATTGAGCCAGAAAGCAGGAGTGAGCATGACTCATACTGTGAGTAATTAAGGGCTCTGGGAAAGAGACTGGATCCATGATCTGTTCCAAGAATTGTTTCTACATTTTATGGGTTAGGGCATCTCCTCATAGGTATAAAATGTAGATTAGAAACTATTCTGGCAGATAAAGGAACTCTGAAGTGTCCCATCTTGAGCAAGCATGCTAGTCATTAAACTTTTTTATAACAAAAGGACATTGCTCATCTCATTAGCATTTAAACAAATTATTCAGTGCTTTGAAAAAAGAGTGGTGGACTTCCTTTTAGGAGAGGTTTTTAGGATGAGTTTAAGCACTTCTGTGTACCCACTTAGGAAGCATCTGTGGATCAGAAGTTTGTCACAGTTTCCCTGTTTGCTTACTTTTAACACTGTGCTGAGCACCATGCCAGTAAGCAGCTGCCTGATCTACACATCTACTGTGGATTCCAGGCTGAGACAATCAGTATTTTACCTGAACTGTGAAGAACTAGCAAGTGTGCTTCCTTTCAAACCAGGCACCAAAAATTTGTATTAGTAGTTCCAACCAATTTTTGGTTGAAACACATTTCAGGCTTTTGTGATTTTTCTCATAGCAAACCTACATCCCAAAGAAGCAACATTTCACTTGCCACTATGATTCTGATGAACGAGATTTCAGCTGTAGCTCAATTGCATTGCCTGAATGCTTCACAAACTCTGTCAGGCTGGTGCTGTGACCACTGCCCTGGGGAGCTGTTCCAGCACCCAGTCACCCTCTGGGAGAAGAACCTTTTCCTAATAACCAATTTAAACCTCCCCTGACACAACTTAAGGCCATTCCCTTGGGTCCTGTCACTGTCACCACAGAGAAGAGATCAGTGTCTGCTCCCCCTCATCCCTCACAAGGAAGTTGTAACTGCAGTGAGGTCTCCCCTCAGTCTCCTCCAGGCTGAACAGACCAAGTGACCTCAGCTATTCCCTTTACAGCTCCCCCTCAAGGCCCTCCACCATCCTCGTTGCCCTGCTTTGGACACTCTCTAACAGTTCAATGTCTTTTTACATTGTGGATCCCAAAGCTGCCCCCAGCACTCGAGGTGAGGCTGCCCCAGTTCAGAGCAGAGCAGGACAATCCCCTCCTCTGCCTGGCTGGTGATGCTGTGCCTGGCTGGTGATGCTGTGCCTGGCTGGTGATGCTGTGCCTGATGCCCCCAGGACAGGGTTGGTCCTCCTGGCTGCCAGGGCACTGCTGACTCAGGTTCAACTTTCCCTGCTCTCCAGCCTCTCACTCTGCAGTCTGTACAGAAATCCTGGGCTGCCCAGGGCCAGGTGCAGAACCTGGCCCGTGTCTTTGTTAAATTTTATACAGTTGGCATGTATGCTCCTTTTAGAAACTGTATTTACATGCTACAGGAATAAAATAAATACCTGAGTCTTATTAACTATGACCTTCAAACACCCAAGGAGGCTCTCTTTCCAAAGCATGTCAGAAGATAGACATATTCAAACGCACAAAATGTTTCAGAAACTAGCAAATCAAATTGAGTCACCATAAATTTATATCAGAGTCTCCTATGGAAGGAGGAGTCGGAAAAATAGGAATAATAGCAGATTTTCTGCTGGAATTGTGTTTACGTCCATATCAAGACTTTCAGAGAAACACACGCTTCCAAAAAATCAAACACTGAACATATTTCCAGCATTGCTATCTGAATAACAGGGTCCTTAGAAGAACTAGGTAAGAATGACTGCAATTTAATGATCTATTTTTGGCCCAGTAAATGCAGGTCCACTCCATCTGCAAAACAGAGATCACATTATCTTTTCCCATCTTTTATTTAATGCTGAAAATATGACATGACACAGAAGTATTCTTATTCCCGTGCAACAATAATGTAATTCACAAAAAGTTCAAGAGATTATCCTCACCAATCATGCAAATAGTTCTAAATTCTTTTCTCATTATAATACGATGTCAAATCATAATAAAATGCTGAAGAAAGTCTTCGTCATTGTCTAATTGTTGGGGAAGATATTTCAAAAGCAGAGGAAAAAAAAGCAACCAGCAATTTAGAGCCTGGAAGACTTTGGCTCCAAACATGAAATCTCATCTGCAGTCCCGAGAGGTCACTGCATTCTCTCCAAGCAGAAACTGGCGCCTCTATAATTCAAGATTTCTGTGCAAACTTAAAAAAAAAGAAGTCCAGCTGGAAAATCAATGTGATTACTCTTCCTGCACTGAGTAAATGCAACAGTCCATCACTGGCTCAAAGGAGGAAGAAGCAGGGGAAAAAACCCTATGACGTCAACTTTGCTGGCTGCACCAAGCGCCTGCATATTGTAACTCTGCTGGCATGCAAGGGAATTCCAGTTTCTACAACCTGTCCCTAAATCAAATCATAGCACATTTTTTCTACTAGGTTCCTTTGGTATTTTTCCCCTCTGAAAAAAAGGAAAATACTAATTGAGGGGGAAAAGCCACAAGAATAACAATAAAATAGCACTTACACGGCTTCTTGGGACATTTCTGGCATTTGTTAAAACCCCAGGAAGTACCCACGGTTCCACAGCAGTCTTCTTGCTTGGAAAGGCCAGGAAGTGCTTTGCCACACTGAAACAGTCAGGTAAAGAATACTCTGGTTAGTGATACTGTACAACACTCACTGCCAGTACAATGTTCTTTTTCAGTCATTTTGGGTGAACCTCTTGCTGAGACACTGAAGATTGAGTGGAGCTCTTAACTGGACTTAAATGGTGCTCACACATTGCAGAAGCTCTCTACACAGGTATGAGTAAATTAAGTGACATTATTACCTTTCCCCATGACACTTTGAAAAGGAGAAAAAAACAGAAGAAACCAGTATGTCATAGGAATGAGTGAGCATATTTCTGAGGTAATAACTCACCATTGGCAGCTATCATTTTCATTATAAAAACATGCTTGCCCACTTTTTCAAAAGCTATATGAATTATCTCAAATACCTTATTATTTCTGAGGTCAATTTCCATTTCTCCACCAATCAATATGTTATGCTTTATAATGATAAGACTATTAATATTTGGAAGCTTAGAACACACTAGTTATTGTAATTTTCTTCCATTTTGCATGGTAAAGAAAGCTTAAATATATTTCAGCTTCAGACATTAAAAAGACCCCCCCAAACACCTAAAGATGCCAATTAGGCATACAATGGAACACACAAAGCCCAGGAGAAGTCCACAACAGCTGCACTTAGTAATACTTTCAAAGCAAATGTGATATAAATAGGCACTGCAGAAACAATTCTAATGTGCTGAAGTGTGAATCCTCAGTATGGCGTGAATAGACTTTCCCTAATCTAACCCTGCTTTCTGACAGTGTGTAAACTTCTGACCCAAATGTGCCTCGCCACATAGCTTTCAGCTCAAGATAGCTGCCTCATCCTATGCCACAGGCTGTGCTCCCCCTTAGCTGGTAACAGAGTCACTCTGCAGTACACACACATGCTGAATGCACAGGCACTGACAGCTTCCTTCAGCTTTCCCAAAATTTTTCCAGTGTGCTCTTAATCATACTGCCACACAAGCCAATGATATTTCTAAAGCAAAGTTACCCTGTGTAGCTTTACAGTGTGACTACTAACAGGATAGCAAGCTACTCTACAAGGGTTCTGACTCATCAGAGGGTCCCTCTGCATGGGGAGGCCCAGCAAAGCATCATCCCAGCCATTTTCTCTGTCCCTTTTTCACAGATACTCCCGAGATACATCCTGAAGTATCTCGACAAATTAAAAGCAGCACCAGTTCACTATTTAAACAGCAGACTGCAGCTCAGCATGTGCAGCACGTGAAGCTTAGATCAGTCTCAAGGGATGTGTAAGAAGTCTGAAGTGTCTTTCATCTCAGTGACAGCCAGCCACACACGTCCAAGTTTTTAGCACCAGAACAACTTGGCATGGCTATGGTGTGCCCCTGCCTACTACCCATATCCATGTTAGTATCACCTGTACTTTGAGCCTCAGTTTGGCATGACACATGAACAGCAAAAAGAATAGAGTGGCCAAACAGCTTCAAACAGACTGCTCTGTTATTGTGCAACTTTAGGAGTATATTTTCACATTACTGTCTGGAGTGGGTCTGATGACAAATTTTCCTATGTTGCAAGGGATGGGAAATGGTCTTTGCCTGGATGGTATTTGGCTGTGCTAAAACAGTGGAGTATCTCAGCAAGTCCTACCTTTCAGATGAATGCCCAGGCTTACCCTAGGTGAATGCATATCTCTCAGCTGTCTTGCACTCCTCTGGCTTAGGCACCAGTGGGATTAATACAAGGCTGACCATTAGTCAGAGTCCAATGAGTTCTGCTTCCATAAGCAACTCCCAGCCTGGTACTTCAGAAATACCATCAAGATGCATAAACGGGGAATTCTGTACAATTTCCTCTGCCATAGCAGCTCTGCTGTTTTCAAAACTGAAATAAACTCTTCCAACTGCCCCAAGCTAGAGGATACACAGATCGTGCTGCATGTCCCAGAAGCTCAAAAAAATCTTTCAACTGGAGAGTACTCATAGTGCCTCCTCTATGTGATTACCCTAAAACCTTAGACAGTTCAAGTCACATCTTTACACAATGCTGGTTTTCTCAACGTGCCTCCCAGGCAGGCATGCTCCAGGAAGGACCCTTTTACTTTATAACCACAGCTACCTTTGCTTTATAGTTACAGATGCTCCACCCCTTTTCTAGAGCTTCTTCCAAGACAGAGAAGACACTTGCTAAAGTCATGCACTGTGGCTGTTATAGAGAGTCAGCTAAAGCATTTTGCACCCAGCTCTTCTCTCCCCACTGTACCTCGGCTTTCCAACTCTCCCCTCTGCAAAAAGAAATGGGAGGAATCGAGGCTGGGGTTGCATCTCCCCTTATGATCTCAGAAATGGAGCATTTGGGCAGTGAGGCACATTACCTAACACCCAGTGTTTCTCTTCAAGGTCAAAACTTCAAGGACACATCCCAGGAGCTTGCATGTGTCAAGGCAAGATTCCACTAACATGAGAGCCAACATGTCAACTCCCCCCCCCCCCCGCCACTTTTTTTTTCTCCTTTTCCCCAAAATAGAAAATGTGTCATCTAATAGTAACAAGCTAAAAGAGAAGAAGGAGGAAAAAAAGGAGAGGAGAAGGAGGAAGATGGACTAAAGCCCACTTATAATTTAGGTGTGGTGCTACAGCATTTGTACTCTACTGAAAATCATGATCTTTGTGGTCATAACTTTTTCGAATTTCCATATAAAAATCATGAGCAAAAATAAGGATGCCAAAGTCTGAGTCATCTGGCAACTGTGGTTTGCAGTTCTGTCAGTAAAAGCTGGCAATGATTAAAGCTGCTGCTCCCACTGCCTCTATGGTGAATTAAAGCTTGAAGAATCAATGATAATTTGGTTAACATCCAGATCATTGTAGAAACTGGGCAACAAGGAAAAGCAACTCCCATAAGGGGCTCCTATTGCCTTAAGATCTGTGTAATTTTGGAGCTATGCATCACAAAACACGAGTGCTCTGCAAAGTCCTAATCCAAGCAGAAACAGAGCTCTTCTGTGGCTACTAAACCCTGATTTCCCTGGTACATATAGTAGTGCTTCAGATACTCTAAACACTCATGGCACTGCACAAACTGTTCCCCAGCCAGCTATGTTTTCTTAAGGTGCTCACTCCTTTCAGCAACCTTAAGCATATAAGAACTGGAGCTCCATTTCTACAGTCTCAAAAACTTTTATAGGTAATTCCTTTCTACTTCAAAAGTCTTACACACTCCCTACTACCAAGACGAACTTCAGACAGTCTTTTTCAGTCTCTGACTCACAAGTGACTGGAAAAGTCACTTGGAGGAATTCGTAACTATTTTTTAGTTTGTTTCACCATTCTACACAACTCCAACATACACTTATGAGCCTAAAATAAGCAGGAAAGCTAAACACAGGCATGCTGGACTACTCATAAAGATAATGCCATTCTTTAAGCCTAGGTTTACACTTTTCTATCCATCATCTACATCTACTTTTAAACTAATCTAGTCTGTATTCTTGAGGGCTCCTGAAAAATAGCACAGATTTTCATGAATGATATCTCTGTCATAAGCTTATGATTTGGAAATAAGTCTCAGTGGTTCAGAAGGCAAAGAAGTCATGAAGGTTTGGTATAAAAGAGCTCAACTGTGCTGAAAGAGGCTCAGCAGTAGCAGCAGTATGATGCACACATGGTACTGCTATAAAACAAAGTTCTTCCTGGGTAAAGCACTCAGAGACACTGAAAGTATTGTTTCAAATCCACATATTTTTCCTCATGCGTGCCTGGGCTCCGATGCCAATATTTTATATAACTGAAGGAAGTACTGAATATTCCCACTGGAAGACTGAAATTCTGGCTGACCCTGTGCTGGTGCACAAAAGCCACCCCAAGCCACATCACCTCTTTGTTACCCGGTCCAGACCTCCAGCCTCTGCCCCATCTCCACAGTCCTAGAGTGCTAAGCTGTGTACTGCCACCAGTGCTGCATGTATTTTCCAGTGCCAGGGAAAAATCCTTGGAAGGGTTATATCCTTGCAACTCATCTGCTAAGGCAGCAGAGGAAATTTATTCAGCTCCCTGTAAAGTGCAGTAGGGAGCCCAGTCTGGCAATTACTACCAGGGCAACCGCAGAGGATTCTGGCCAAGGGACCACAAGGTTTCCTGGGACTCCTATTCCTGCATGACCCATCTACAAATCCCTGTCACAAGCTGCTAGTTAAAACCACAATACAGACATAAATAAAGGAGTGTCACATGATTAACTATGATTGAAATTGATAGGTGCTTTGCCTGAGCTAATGACTCTGGGATTCAGCTCAAAAGACTGCATTTCACATACCACAATAGCACAAGTGAATGGATACACTGTTTAACTTTCTGCAAACTATTCAACAGGCACAGACCTTGGATTGTTGCTTCTTTTTTTTTCCTATAGGAACGACAAACAGAGCAAGAAACCTCAAACTTAATACACTGTATTACTGAAACAATTAACAGACATTCTTAATTAGCTTCCTGACCAGCTGAATGACAGGTTGTTACAAATGAAGAGTGTTATCCCATGCAGCACTGGCTCACTAACAGGCATTGTCTCATAAGCAGAGGAGAGAAACTTAAATACTTCCAGACTTTCCAGAAGAACTGGTAAAGAATTTGTTTTGGCTTAAGCAGAACATTCTTCATAAGCAAGTAAAAATTGTCCACCTTTCTTCTTTTTGAGTAATTAAAACAATGTTTGGTGTTTTTGGTATCTGATACATCTTTAATCCTCTGATATTTCAGAGTATTGATCTTGCAAAGAAACTACTGCAAATGAAACATTAATCCTGCAAATGAATCTACACCAATTTCTGACAGTCTATTTGTTTAAGAACTTCAGAAGCCAAACCATGAGCTTCAAGGAATTCCAGACAGTTATTTTATTTTATGAGATGGTATTTTTAAGACTATTCTAAAGAAAAGAGGTTTTAAAAGTGCTCTAAGAGAAAAAGTACCAGTACAAAGCACAGAATTGTATCATTTCTCCTGCCTAAAGAAGATAAATACCAAAGTTCATTTCACACAGCTGTC